TCTTAATTTAGATTTAAAATGAGTAATACTTAAACTAGACTTTAAAGGATGAGACTGGAGGTATTCTGTGACTTTAATTGTTGTTTTTTTTAATCCAATGGAACGACCAAAAATAGTATTTCAGTCAATCTCTTAATGTGTTTGGAATTCCCCAGCTGCTCTGTGGCACTCAGCCTCTTTCTGTTTCCCCTGACTTAAATCTTTTATAAAAAGGGGATGTGGAAAAAAAAAAAAGAGGTCGAGAGTATTCTTTCATTATAAAGGAAGGCTAAAGCTAAGTGATTTCCTATTAACAGCTGGTGCCTGCAGGTTTCAGAAAAATGTCACCAAATGGGAGTAAAAAAGTGCATTTGTTGGGGATTATTTTCAGCTGCAGATGTGGTGACAAAATACAGCAGCAGAACAGTGCGCATGTGGGCTTACTCAAAATAAACAGTGTGTTCATAAAACATGTCAGCCGGTGCAACAGTGAGGCTCATTCATGTGTTTTTTAATAGCTTAAGAACAACAATGGAGCTATGTGGCACAGAGACATGGGCTATATCAGGCATTGGAGACAGGGGGCAATACAAAAAGATGATTTTAGTCTTCCTTTATAAAATATCGTTGGATATACCTTCGAATAAAAATAAGTAAAACTTTGAAACCTTGAAATGAGGAACAAAAAGCCCCGAAAGAAAGGTAAAGAAAGAAAGAAAGCAGAATTGAAGTAAAAGTAGAAATGCTAAAGTTAGCGTACTGCCTACGATGGGGTATTGGATGTCACCCAGTCTCTGTACCAATCCAACACCATCCAATTTTTTTGTCTTTCTCCAAAATTATTTCCAACATAGCAAATATATACATAAGTGGCCACTATCAACCATGATGTTGAGTTTTTGAACAGAGCTCTGCTAGGAAAGAAAGTAACGTTTATTTTAAACAGAGCGGCCAAGTCTCATGACCATGAGCATCATGTGCATGTGTGTATATACTTCAGCCTATGTGTGTGTTGCATGACTACAGAGTGTAAAAACTGAAATTTCCCCTTGCGGTGATCGATGAAGTAAATTAGAATCTTATGAGAGTTACGCAATTGAGCATCTTCATACGGTCACATGCTAATCCTCCTATTTCACCCCCCCTCATATGTATCCTCACCTGCTGCTTGCCGTACTTGGGGCCCTATTCTGCCTCTAATTGGCTTACCCAGATATTAACCGGACCAATCATATGTCCTCGTGCTTATATCTAACCTATCCAACAAAATTCAACTAGTACCATCCAATCAGAGGCAAAGTATGACGGGTCAAATCAGACCTGTGGATCCTTTCCACAGATCCTTTCCTTTGCAATGATATGAATAATGTCGTGCTCGTCTTTCAACTGAAGAGGAAGGTCAAACGATAGATAACCAACTCATTTTGATGTGAATGATGTGATTTTTCTAGATTAATAAATGCTGTTTTAAATAGCGACTCCAAGTGGGTGTAAGTTAACATTTCACTGACTTATCAAAGAACAGGTTGCTGAATGCAATGGATTCATTGACAAACAGCTGTAACGAAGGATCGAAAATGATTTTTCATTTGAGTTTAGAGTGTCAGATTGGATTTAAAAACAGGCATCACTCATTTGCTTGTGAGCTAATTGATACTATGAGACTGTGTTGGTCATTCCTTCACAACACTCTAGACTTCTTCTTTTTAAATGTGTTTAAAAGATGTCAGGGAAGAAGCAGAGAGACCTGCTTACCTTCTGGGCAGCGAAGGGTCAGCCGACCCCCCCTGCCAAAAAAAAAAATTGCCAGGTCAGAGGAGTCAAACAAAACGGTGGAGGAGACTATGAATTAAACGGGGAATGACACAGCGGAGGAGAATGAGACTCCAGAGGACACAGAGGATGAGAGAGTGGAGGAAACAGTGGAGAAGACGGAAATGAGATTTGACTCTACATCTAGCTTCAAACAACCGCATTTTTTTCTTTCTCATTTCAAACTTTTGGAAAAACTTGGCAGCCTTTGTTTTGAAACGCACAGGATGTGGATTCCGTTGCCAGGGGGATCTCAATCAAAACAAAAACAAAAAAAGACGTCGAGGCTGGCGGGGAATCATGAGAGTGATTCTCTCTGCTAATCATGAGAGTGATTCTCTCTGCTACTCCCAACCCCCAGTTGAAATGAAAACGAACCCCAAGTTGACCGTAGTCGACACGAACGGGCGAAACAGACCTGAGGCAGAGAATCTGTTCATCGACGATCTATCCAGGAATATTTCACAAGGTTTTTATCACAGCAACACATACAGCAACAGAACGGCAGCTTTCAGTGGCAGCTTATGTCGCGGTCTTAGACAAAACATCCGGTGTTTCCACAGCAACGATAAACATGTGGTGTCTGTCATGGCAGACAACACAACACGTCCCATAACAACTGTAAAATTAAAAATGCATCTGGCTTTGATAACTGTTGGAAATATTTGAGATAATTTAACTACTCAACAGAAAATTATATATCACAAAGATTTAGTCATTTTTTATTAATTCATATATTTTAGTGGAAACATTCCAATAACATTTTACATATTGTACCTTAAAGCTGGCAAAGTGTGTTTTCCATTCAAGCATTTAAAAATCTGAATTTTTGTTCAAAATTGAATGAAAGGTGATGAAAAGTGTTTCTCGAGCACTCTCATGAGCGTCATAAGCTGAGCATCTGCTAATGTTAGCAAAGCTAGTTTCTAAGTGCTAGGCCTAATTCAAGTTGAGATTGTCTCCAATTTACTGGATCAGGCCGAAAAACAACAGGTAGTATACCTTAAAAAGTCTACCTTTTCTCTTATTGTGCAAGTATTGAAATGGTGTATCTTGAAGAAAAAGCAAAGTATTTATGAGAATGGTTGCATTCTCCTATGATTTACAGGGATTGATTTATATCCGTGATTTGAAGCTGCCTTCACAGACCACCTATGACTATGTCTGAGTTCATTAATATGTCTAAATTCATGTCGAGTACACAGGGATAATATTGAGAGTCAGTGAAGTGGTCCTCCAAATGCTAACAGCTATCCAAACCAGACATCCACCAGGACAGTGTTTGACAAGAGGCATAAGAGCTGCATAATGTTCTGATACTAATAGAACTGAAACAAAGGAGAAGACGGAGCAGACGAGCGCTTCAGTTCTGGCTCAAGTAGTCACCGGTGGAAATTTACATCGATTTTGTCCTCGTCTGGGAGCACGAGATGTAGCGCTTCACAGCTGCTGTACCTTTGTTCAGCTGCATAATGTCCCACCGTAATCACTGTGATACATTAAAGCCAGCCAGTTATGCTAATTAGTCCATTAATTGATCAGATTATTGCATTAATTAGTGTTAATGGATTAAAGGTCATTAAATGTGCTGTGGAGGTTAGACTCAAAAACAGCTGCGGGTGATGTACCTCTCCGATGTTTTTCTTGTGGGCCCATGATGTTGCGGGAAGCTAGTTTGCAGGAACCTTTAAGGTAATTTACGACATTAAAGGGATGTTCCGCTTTTTAAGCACGTGAAGACCACTTAATTGGAAATGGTCGGTACAAAGCAGCATGTGAAAACAGTGTTACTTTGTTGCTCTTAAGGAAACACTTTGGTTTAAAATGTTTGCTGATAAACTTTTGTTTTATCGCCGTCGTCTAATTGCACGTTGAAGTGCATTATGGGAAATGTAGGTTTTCAGCATTTGGGATTACATGCCCAATGTAATCTAGAAGTCTGGATAATTTAGTGTCCCCGTTAATGATTTTGATTATTTTTCTTCCCCTCATACCAACAGTACTAAATCCAACGAGTCCAACTTTTATTCAGAGTTGTCAGGTTTTGCTGCAGGTCCCACAGACTCTTCATTTTGCAGTGAATCTGTTACCTGTTACATTAGCATGGCCTTACTAGGTCAAGGTAAAAATTAGACCTGACCTGAATCCTTAAACAAAACATAAATAACACAACACATGATGCTTCAAAGCATGTAAAATTCATGCTCAAGTTCATTAAGATTTTATACATTAGCATAACTTGATCAAAAAATATTCCTTTTTTCTTGCTACAAACAGATCTGATGTCGTGTCGTAGCAGCTGCATAATAAAGCTATTACCTAAACATTTTTCACATTCCTCATACATGTGTGGGTTTAAAAGTTTTTATTTTAGTGTTTAAACAGGAGGCCGTAAATTGGTCCAGCAGATGCAGACGCATTAATGCTTTTTTTTTGCTTTATATCTTTTGCAATTTTCCTTTCTTACAGCAAGGTCGCTGGCTAAACTCCTGCTTTCATGTGTCGGGCAGCAAGTGGAAAAAATTGTTTTGACCTTTTTGAAGATTCATGCAAACACCCCCCAAGTCGGATAGACATGAACAGAAAGTCTATGATGACCTTTGGTGCACTGCTTGCAGATTTTACAGATTTTACAGATTGTATGCCATATAATTCAGAAACACTAAAGTAAATGTTGGCTTGGTGGTGAAAAACGTTTCATTTAATCACATTGTGCATATTTACCTTTTTCTTTTTTACATTTGATATAAGGCTGTAACGATAAGTGACACGTAAACTCATGAACACACCATGCGAACAGGATAATGGAAGCACATGAGGAATATATGAATACATGGTGATGAAGGAATTCTTATTATTTTATGTTTCTTATATGCACAACATCAGGCGTGTTTGCATCACTGCACTAATCATGGGTGTGGGGAGCAATTGAGGTCCAAGCACTACTTTTTGCACTGGTATTCAAAAACAGAACCAAAAGATAAATGTGTGAAGAGACAGGGATAAAAATGGCTCTCTGTTAGCGGCCTCAAAAATCACTGTTGTGTTTTCAGTAGATAAGTGATGTTATTTGTCATACAGAGGAGCATAATGAGGAGAACGGCAGGCAAATAGACTTTAAACAACCACACCATCCCTGAGGAGAGCTAAAAAGGCAAATAAAGCCTGTCTTTTCCAATAGTACACATTATTGTTTTAACTGTTCTCACCTTCTTCACCCGTCCACTCTTGGTCCCCAGAAACACCACACTGTGGCCGTTGTAGACGTAGGAGGTGACAGAGGTCAGCCTGTCCCTGCTCTCTGTGTACACCGTCCGACCCGACACCAGCTGAGAACCCCCCAGGGGCTGGTTTATATCCAGGCCGCAGAAGTGATCATCGATGGGAACCGGCTGCATGGAGAGAAGGAAGGTGGGGTAAAGGAGGGGGTTAGGGAGAAAAAAACATCAAGAGTGTGAGGTGGTTTTTTTTGTTGAGAAGATGTGAGGGAGAAAATGGGAGAATCAGTTACGGGAGGCAGGGAAAGGGAAAAGGAGAGAGTGAAAGGAAGGAGGAGTAAGGATGACAGATATTAGGAGGTGAGGTGGAGGTAACGAGAGAGCGTAAGTGGGAGCCGGAAAAATGACTGATATCACTGGAGACACATGCAGATATGTGAAGAGAACTCAAACTGACTCCTAGTAAGAGTAAGATGCGTTGAGGGCACAGAATTCTCGGCTACTTCAAACGAGTTCAGGGCTGCTGGATTTATCAACAAGCCTTGGAGCAGGCAAATTTTGCAGAAGCAGACTAAATGCTGATGGCAAACACGAGACAGGCTATGTGTTTTGCGCCTGTTTCTGTGAATTTTTTTTTTTTTTTTAAACGCTTGATCTGACATCACACAAACACACAGCACAAGAGATGTCAGGGTTTGATTAGGCATCAAAGAGAGCAGCATGCTAAGCAGTCCTGTTACATCTACTAACATGAACCTCAAGCCTGTGCTAATTGCTTGTCATTCAGTGTATAAATCTACCTTTTTGAGGGCAGCTAATTTCTCATTCCACATCGGCTACTTATTATGCACATATTAGTGCTAACTGTATTCCCTTTTTTATCAAGATTTACTGAATGTGATCAGTGGAGTAAACGCCATAACTTAACCCAAACCTGCTTTCAAAAAAGTATTCATCACTTCTCTGTTTAGCCACCTTAGATTGATGGCATGTTTGAGTATTTACTTAAATAGTAACAATGCTTACAGTGGACTGTTTGCAGAATGACATTTCTGATATTTTGATGCTATTTTATTTTCTATTTAACGCTCATCATACCCACCAAGCACAAAATAAGGGATTCATCTTTTGAATAGACATTCTTCATATTCATTCATATTGAGTTCTACTTATATACACTTTAAAGTTATTATTGTTATGATTTAATACTCAACACATTTTTCTCAAGATCAGAAGCTATAGATACTTTCTTCCTCATTGGCTCTATGGCTTTAATTTCTGATTAGAGCAAATGATCAAGTGTTGCTAACACTGGGACAAAGTATCAATACAGCAGTATATGTTTTTCCTGACTCGTGTGGTTTAATTATTGAATCACTGGTTGCAAATGTCTTTTTTTTCATGTGGCTCTCTAAACACAGTTCACCCCCAATTTAAATTGTGAAAGGAACGTGAAGAGAAGTTAAGAGGCCAAAGAAAAAAATTCACAGTCAGATAAAAGAAGCAGAAAGCAGGATTGCTTAGTGTATTTTAAGTGTACAGCCTATTAGCTGTACCAGAGTTAGCTTTAAGCTAATGTACATCTGTACTTCCTGGGTAGGAGACAGAGACTGCCTGCAGCTGCTGATATTTGATCTTATCTTATCATGAACGACAGCAGTAAAACAGAAGTTAAGAGATGAAGTATGTGAAACTGACCAAATTGCAATGACCAAGGTCATTCTACTCTCTCCCAAACAGGCTGTCATTCATTTTTCGAGACCGGAGGTTGCCGCTTGGTCACACTCCCACAGCTAGGTGTTTGTTCTGTCCTCTGGGTTTGCCTTCTCACCGTAAACAATAGGGCATGACGCAAGAAAGCCCGAGCCACCCACACCCTTCCAGAGAGGAGCGTGGTTTAACACAGCTGACTTGCATTTAAAGGTACAGATACAGAAACAGTCTGTTCTGAGCAGGGCTGAAATAGGGGGGTTTATAGGCATGATCAAATACAGGATCAGAGTGGATTTATGGAAAGAAACTTTACAGGCACTTTTGGGGACCTCTGAGACATCTTTAAACTTGTTGAAAAAGGAGAATAATATGTGACCTTTAAAGTACCTCTGTGGTTGACAATAGTCTCACAGAGCTACAAGCAGGACTGCACACTCCTGTGTGTTGTTATCCCTGAAATTGGCAGATTGTGAATTTTGACTACTGCAACAAAATAACAATAACAAGTAAGAAGAGTTAAGCAATAGAATAAATCATATTGGTTGCTTCAGTTATTATAATAGGACAAGCACTTCTTCAAACCACGAGACACAAGAGGATAAAAAGATTTCCTTGAAAAGCCACATCTGTGCATCAGTGGACGCACTGTGGATCTTTCACTGAGTGATTAATAATGCAAACAAAGAAACAGAGTATCTAATCTTAACAGAGATGTAGCACTGTGTTTCATTTACAGTCAATTTTAAGTATAAAGTCTTTTAGTAACTGTACATCGAGTGTTAATTATTGAATTATTATGTGTCTCTATCCTCCTTCAGCTGCTTTAATGAATAGCATTACATCTTATTTGTTTAAACGCACGGGAAATCAAAGTACATGCAGGGAACCACAACAGCAAAGGATGTGATGAATATCATTGTTTTCATGGTTCGCTTTCAACTTGTTTCATACAAGCCGCTCATTATGCAGAATTGTAGCTTTCACAAAAGCAAAAGACTTGGACATTTACAAGAAAGCCTTTTTCTCTAGATCAAGAACAGGTCTCAGAGGGTTCAAATAGTGCTGACAGCAACAGCTGAAGACGTAAGGAGGTGAGGAGAGAGAAAGAGAGGGAGGGAAAGGGGAGGAGAAGAAGGGCACCCAAACCCCCTGAATGAAATCAAAGCTCCTCACAAGACTCCTCTGATTAGCATTGTGAAATTAATCTCCTCCAGCTCTTCTGCGCTTGTGGGATCCTGAAATCCTGAATGGCCTTCAACCCAGCTCTAACTGCCTGCCTATCAACTTATAGAGCTGCTAACATGGATAATCAGAGTGCCAACTTTTAGTGAATCTATATCAGTGTTGCTAACCTATGAGGGATTAATGCTTAGGCTGAGTATGTGTGTGCATACTTTGTATTTGACACATTTTTACCCTGTTGTTTAACCGTTGCTTGCGCAGGTTAGACAACAAGATTTTGGATGTTTATTTGCGTTGTTCAACACAACCCAAGGTAATTCAATCATTAATAAACTTAGTTAATAAGGGGGTGGCGGTGGTTCAGTGGTAGAGTCGGTTGTCTCCCAACCGCATGGTTGGCAGTCCGACACTCACTGTGTTTACATGGACTGAGTGGCATGAAAGTCCCCAAGAAACAGAACTTCGAGAGCATCTTAATGAAACGGGATAGAACCCAAGATAGAAGGCGGGACATAACGTTGGGATGAATTTGATTGGATTGTTATCTTTGACAAAGCTTTTCAATTGGTTGAAAATAAGTTGACAATATGTTAATACCCCTAGTTAGTGCAGAATGAGTCATCAGACATTTGAAATCTTTCAAAGGAAGAGAAAATTATGTTATTTTAATGTAAAACAACTCAGATATTGCTTCATTGAAATATGTTTGGCAGATGATGAGGGATAAATGAACATTCAACACATGATCGCTGCATTGAAAACCAGGAAAGTGTGTTTTACATTTCATGGGATCGCCGTGTGTATGAATGGGATTTAGTTAATACTAATGGGCACTTCAGCATCTTCTGCCTCAAGTGAACAAATGTGTGTGAATGGACGACAGTAACATGTAGTTTAAAAACGCTTTAAGAGGTCAAAGACTAAAAGCACTGCTTTCATGTTATGCATTTAACACCCAAAAGCTCTCTAGGTTCATTTTCATATCACTGGAGGAACACACAGTCCAGTTATTTCTATGCTTTGTCCAGGAACAGTTGCTGGATCAACCGGTCTGAAAAATCCAATAATTTGTAATTTCATTGTTACTGCAATATGAGCATTCACAATAAACACATTGCAAATGTCTGAATATGTCTCAGAGAATAAGAACACATGTTTTATGTAAACAAGCAATGCCTTCTCACTCAGCAGAACATTTTAACCTGTATGATAGAGACCTGGGTATAATGTCTCACGATTCACGTCATTTTGATGCAGCCAGATGAGGTAAGTTAGCTTCTGCTACCATTAAATTAATCACTGAAAATGTAGTGTTTGCATAAAAAAAAAACGCTTTTGGGATTTATTTTGAAATTATAAGGAAGTTGTTGCAAACAGGTATTGTGTAAAACATGAAGAACACTATATAGACATATAAACTGTGAGTAATAGCTAATGTGCTCTCTTTAACAAACTTCATTGTGGCTTTGAAATATTAAAAATGTCTAATCCCACCACTGACCTAACATCTAAACTCCAAGCCAGAAATATTTGCCTCACTTTCGGTCAGAAAGAGTGCACCAGTGCTGTCATCTCCTTACTATCCACCTACCGCCTTTGTGCACTGCACGTCCTTTCCCAGCAGCCAGTGCAGCTCCAGGTTTCCCTCGCCCTGGTAACAGGACTGCAGTCGCTCCTTGATCCGAGTGTTGATTTCTTGGATGGTGAAGACGCAGAGCGCGGTGTGATCTGGAGGGTCGTGCAACTGCTTCTGTCCCTTAGAAAACACAGCAAAGAGCACGTCCTCCTGGGCGCTGATGTTGAGAGACTTTGCCAGAACCCTGCCGGACTTGGACAGGTAAGCAGCCTGTAATAGACGGTATTCCTCACCTCTGTGTACGCACCCCACAGGAAGTGACACGTAGGAGTGAAACTTCTTGTCACCTTTGCAGAGGCGGATGATTCGAGAGGTGTAAAACAGGTCGCCAGGTGAGCTTCCTGCAGGCATACCATTGTCAGGCGTCTCCGGCTGGACTGTCATGAAGTAGACAAAGTTTCCGCTGGCAAAGCCGTAGATGTAGTAGATGTCAAAGTGTGGAACAAGAGCCAGTGTGTCCGAGGGGATTTTAATGAGAGAGGAAACAAAGTCAGTGTGAAGCTCGTAGTCCAGCATTGCAGAGGATTCTGGGTCTCGAGGCAGCTTTCGGCTGGAGATCGTTGGAAAGTAGTCCTGTTTGCCTCCGACAGCCGTCCCAATGTACAGAGTGGCATCCTGATTCTGCGAGGGCACGACAACCCCGAACATAGTCCCCGTCTGGTTGTCACTGGACAGGTAGTGCTCTTTCTTGTGCGTGGGCTCCACAAGAATAAACAAGTCATCCAGCCTCATCAGCTTACAGACGCCCTGGTAGAGACTGCCGCAGGCCAGCAGCCGGTTGTGAGAGTAGTCGATGAGCAGCAGTTTGTTCACATTGTCGGTAGAAGCAAGAGATTCAGAACAGGGCTGCACAATCAGAGGAGGATAACACGCTTTGTTGTCGTACTCTGGCCCCGTGTCATGGGACACCAGGAGGGTGAGATTGGCTGACAGCTTGTAGATTCTGTTTACAGCTCCGACATAGAGAGCACCAGTGGACTGATGCACAGTCAGGTGGTTCAGCGACCACTCCTTCCTCTCTGATTGGAAGTAGTTTAGAGTCTGCCCAACAGTCTTTTGATTCAGAGAGATTAGAGTCAATAGCCACAGTGCCAGAGGCCATGACATGACCTTTAGACGGCAGTGTCCTTTAGTGAGGCTGCAGTAAGTCCGTCCTCTATCCAAGCACGTCCCCATCCCAACAGGGCTCCGAAAACCACCAAGCACAGGCAAAACTTCTGGGATTGAGTGTCAGGATTGGGGCTGAAAAGATGATTTGAAGTACGGTCTCCTCCTTTTTAAGTGTTCTTCACATATTTCTGAAAGACACAAAGAAAAGATATTTGTTTTAAACTCAACAGATCCTTGATTATTCAAGAGTGGAAAAACTGCTCTCAGGGTATCATTAGACACATCATCTGGAAACCTAGAAATATATGTGCTTGTTTCCCCCCCTCAGTCCCTGCTTAGTCAGACACATGAGACATCAAAGAAACAAGTAATCATTTGTTCAAACTGTCTGCCCATATTTACAAGCCAGAGAGATGGTCCAATTTCCCCCCTACCAACAGGGGGGCTCATTATATCCTCTTTTGAGTAACAGAGAACTAACTGTGGCCTATTACTTGAACAAAGCAGTGACAATCTGTAGCCGTTCCTTCCCTCTGTTTCGTTGGCTAATTAAATGATTCAAATGTATTAATTATGCGTCCATATTTTGGGCTCCCTGTTTTCCTGTCTCCCCTCCTCCTTGTTCGCTTAAATGGTTGAATCCAGGAGGAATTAATCACTCTCCACTGCGGCCGACATTCCTAAATTAATCAGGCTTTTTCCAGGGATGGTGGCGAGTCATTAGAGATTCAGAGGCAGGCAGCATCAAGCCTCGCACTTCCCCTGTTTAATTTCATTAGCATATTTTATGTAGTTATTTCCAGGGGACAAACAATGTCCCTCAAACACACCATGGGCTGGAGGATGGATGAGTTAGACGTATGACAAAGGATGTTTGATGTATTCACTGTTCTTTTCCCCTTGTCACAGCTGTTTTGTAATGCACTTTTCTGTTTGAAACAAGATAAGACAAGAAGCTAATTTGGAACAAAAAAAATAGATTTCTTTTTTTTTTCTCAGATGAAATGAGATTTGTTTTGTAAAGGCATCACAAGCATTGTGGATATAGTGGCATCAGATACGCTGTTACTTCATAGAGTCCATTAATGGAGTAATAAAACTGTCTGCATAGGAGGATGGACCATAAATTAGGACACCTACACCACCCTCAATCCTGCTTGTACCACCAGAAGCGCTTCCAATCTGCCTCCCAATGGCTCTTCCCATCTTTACCATCCTCTTTTGTTTTCTCCAATGTAATATCTGCCGCAACCTTCACACTCGTCCAGGGACGGCTGGTATAATGGGCTGGCAGGGCTAAGCTTTCCCTTTCTTATACAAAAAAAGTAATTGAAAAATAACTTTCACAATCATTTTAGAGGAACCTAAAGTAGCAATTGAACCTAATAGACATAAGAAAAACTCATGTATGTATAAATTGGCTAACTTTTTACAACCCATTGTAGCATTCTCTTCCATTCATAGTGTAAATGAGGGACAAGTGTCATGGTACACCCCTCAATTTTCTGATTATTGTGGCTGAATTCATTCAGCTCACAGGCCACAGACTTTTGACCAATGACACAACTGTAGTGTTACAGGCTTTGGAGATGATAAGACACAAAATTCTGGGATGATCTATAGCACTAAACATTGTTAAAAAGTAAAATAGACAAGTGGGATAAGATTGATATTTTCCAGGGCTTTTGTGCCTTAATTAGACAGGACAGTGGATAGGGTAGGAAATTAGGATGAGAAAGAGTGAAGAATGTCATGCAGGAAAAGAGGCGCAGGTCATACTCGAACCTGGGCCACTCACTTGGAGGTCTATAGCCCCTGTACATGAGGCGTGACCTATCCTCTATAAGTCATCAGAGCCCCACTTAACATTGTTCAGTAAAACAAGTTGATTCTCTGCAATCCCGATGCTAATTCTGTTAGCCTGTTGATAAGACATTTCCATGACGAGACACAGGATACTTTACTGTCACTATATGCAAACAACAAAAGTGATTTTGTAAAAGTCGGCCCAGCAGCAATAAACTCTCATGTGTTAGCACCAAGCTAACGGATGAAGATGTACATCCCATACATCTGTGAGGAATTTCTACCCTCCTAGAGAACTGACGCCACCGTCCTCTTCCAATAATACTTTTTTGAAATTTTTCAATGGAATACATCTAAATAACTCCATCAGATTTCCTGCCAATTGCTAGAAGGCTGTAGCTCAAAGGCAACTGTCTTTTTTGGCCGGAGCTAACGTAAACAGGGTGTTTTCTCAGCGAGACTTCCTCGGTATAACTAAAGGTTAAATGAAGACAGCCATGTCAGGTCCTAACGCGGGGGTCATGATGCGGTGGGTGCTCTCCATTGGCTGTCTAACAGGACTTCCAGCTGACTTGAGCGGGAGCCAGGGAGGGAGCGGATGGACTAGCACTGAGCCTGCTGGTTCGAGTCCAGCTCCACTCCAGCATCTCCTGTCCATCTGTCCACGCAGCGCTCACACCAGGGGGGAAAAGTCACTCGAGTGTCTCGACCCACTCTGCTCAATTTGGCAGAATCCATGTGAGCAACTCTTGCAGTAATTGGCCACCGAAGAGCAGCATCTGAAAAACACTGTGTTGTTGGATTTAAAGCTGAAGTTGAATGTTTGCTTTTTCTTTATTTATAAGATATGACATTTACCCAGAGCAATATGAATCAACTCAAGTCACACTCTGCTCGTCCTCTTTCTATCTTTATCCCTATGTCTTTTAAATGTTGGATGACAGACGCTGCTTCTTTTTCTTTTCTTCGCTATAATTTTTTCCTGACTGGACTCAACAACTGTGTTTGCTTTTATTAGTTCTCAGGAAAAGCTGAGATTTGGCAGGACATGTTGGCTTGAATACTTACAGCTTCTTTATTTTGGGGAATATAGTGTCCAGCAAATTCCTTCTGGAAATCCCTCAAATCATCCGCTTTTCAAGCTGACGAGTCCCTGAACCATTTCTGTTTTGTTGTTGACGCAATTTTCAATCACTTGTTCTTTTTTTTTTAAGAATACCATACGCACTCAGGTCTTTTTGAAATGTCTCAAAGGATGCAGTGTCCATCATTTATTGTGATGCCATCTTGGTTAACGAAAAAATACACCCTGTGCAGCTCTTGTGTTTGTTTTTTTTTTTGTTTAGAAAACCACATTTCCTAGCCCGGTAGTCAGCAGAAAGCTTTCGTGTAAACGTTTTTTTTCGGATTCTTTTCTCTGCATTTGTGATGTGGGCTTTATGTTGTGAAAGGGGAATGCTGAAATGGATGTAATGCATCAAAGAGCTGTTTGAAAGTGGGCGGGTAAGATCACAGAAATCTGACTCAATCCTTTGTGCAGCATCTTGAGCTGCCACAAAAAGCAGCAGACAATTGCTTTTCTGTTTACCAATTCAACTAGGGTTGTCTGCTTTGTGAAATTCAGCAGAATCCCATTACTTTGAATTTCTGTTGTTCAAAATCACTTTGCAAACTTCCAGGAAGTGACCTTTGGTTGGATTTTGCATTGTAATCTTATCAGACTTTCTGTCCTTTCCAAACTAGACATAATTAATAAGGCAGGGCTCTCCAGGTCCACAGTAAATATCAGATTGAGTGATATTTGCAAAGCAGGGTTTGAGTCTTGCATGACCTTAAACATCCGACACCAGCAGTGCCACCCTGAGGTTAATTCAGTGTTGAGACTCTGCGGTCAAATCCTCGGAGGAATCAAAAAAAGAAGGAGAAAACAAGAAAAGAAATGAGGAAGTGCTGGTGGCAAACGAAGCCGGGCAGGCATGCGGCAGCCTCATCGTTTCATCCATTTCTTTTCTCCCGGCTTTAGTCACGTCTAAGGCGTGCAGTCATGCTGCTCAGTGTTTACCCTGGATTATAGAGACAACTCTTTGCCCTGCGCAGTCCTCCCCGCCGAATTCTCCGCCTCGCCACTCAGACACGCTCCAACCCAGACATGACTCATTCACACTCACACACGGGAACACGGTTTGCTGAGGCCCTCTGGGGACTCGAGCTCTCAGCAGGGACCAATCACAGCGCAGAGGAGGGAGACGACAGCCTCTTGTGCTTCCACAAACACGACCCTTTGACCTGGATCGAGATCAGTGGAACCAAAGCCATCCTGTGGGTTCAGCTTTTATTGGGGTGAAATGCTGTCACTGCTGCTGCTGCGCCCTGTTAGCCATGATTCATGGCACAGCGGGGATGTTTAGCTTTTTTTCTATTCCGTCTTTTTTTGACCCATCTGCCATCAGAGAAGACCCAAAATGTTTCTAGTGGATATTTCTTTCTTGGGCTGTTCTTTAGCATTACTATCACTACTCGCTAAAGTTAGACTGCATGAAGCTCTGTTGTGTCAGAAAAATTATATTTTGGAGGGATTTTTCAAGGAGAAAATTTCACCAATTTTTTCAAATTTCTTAAAATTCATAGTTCAAACAACCTCAAATAATATCTAAGATGATGTGTTATTTGATCTCTTTTTTTCAGTCAAGATCGTGGACAGAATCTGAATCGGTTCTGAGAACCTTCTTAAAACGAGTAGGTGAAGTCAAGAATTAATTGTGTATTGTTTTTTGTAACATTTGTGTGTTTACCTGCCCAGGGACTGCAGATGGAATCTAACTAATCAGCTAAAACTGGTGCAAGGCATTAACTAAGATAAATGTATACGTTATGCATGGTCTCGATAAACTAAACAATAAACTTAAATAAACTTAAAAGCAAAACTACAGTATCACTATTCTAAAAGTCTTGATATTTTGGCAATATTACAACTGCAAACACCAGAAATAGGATAGCAAAGTCGTATATTTTCTCTACAATAGGTCTAAAAGTAGAATCTAACTTGATAAGTATAACTGTATCTAAAATTATCCAGACGTTGCCAAAAAATTAAGTAGTGGGTTTAGACCATTTTGAAGTCTAAACATCGAATAATTCTATAAATAATTGAGCTAGAAAAGACTGTGAAGGTAGTCAAAGCTATCATTGAGCAGTTTTTCCGTAATACATTTTAAGACCATACATGTCTTTCAGTTATTTAAAGATGATTAAAAGAGTTAAACACCACAATAAAGCTTAATGGTATAACAATCTGTTTCTCTGGACTTAGAAAGGGCTTCAAGCAGATCTACTGCTGATGTTAGCTTGGCTTGTTTCTAGGTGCTCAGCTTTTTTTTTTTTA